GGAGGGGGGGGGTTGCTCCAGGGGGGGGGCCTGGGGCAGGGGCTGGGGGCGGGTGCTGCAGCAGCTGCTTGCAGGCTCCCAGTTCCCCCTGCTCTCCCAGGAAGCTGGCCCTGGCCCTTCCCCTCCACCGCCGGCCCCTCTCGGGCTGGGGCCAGGACCTGGCTAGGGCAGAGGGGACGCAACCAGCAGCTGTGGGTCAGAGGCTGTCACAGGGCTTGGTGGGGGGGGGCCTGGGGCAGGGGCTGGGGGCGGGTGCTGCAGCAGCTGCTTGCAGGCTCCCAGTTCCCCCTGCTCTCCCAGGAAGCTGGCCCTGGCCCTTCCCCTCCACCGCCGGCCCCTCTCGGGCTGGGGCCAGGACCTGGCTAGGGCAGAGGGGACGCAACCAGCAGCTGTGGGTCAGAGGCTGTCACAGGGCTTGGTGCCCAGCAGTGTTACCATCCAAATAAAATGTGCAACCTGGTGCTGGTGTCAGGCCTGCTGGCGTCAGGGAGGGGCCCTGCCCCGGAGCAGGGAGTGGGAACCGGGCCCTGTCCTGCTGCAGTCAGTTCCCCTGTTCACAGGGCGCTCCCCGCCCCTCTCTGTGCCCACGGGACCGGTTCCCGCCCCGCCCCGCGCTGCAGTGAGTGCGTGTGTAGCAAATAGACACGAGACCGGAGCTCAAAATGCAGCAATTTTAATGTAAAAAGGGGGGGGGATCCCTAGGCCCCGGGAGCTCCACTGCCCTCCCCCGGCGGGAGGCAAGGGGGTCCCTCTGCTCCCTCCCCACCATTACACAGGCCGGCGGGGCCCTGCCCCTGTTCGCTGGGCTGGGGCAAGCTGTGCCCGGGGGGGTGAGTGGAACCAAGTTCTGGGCTGGACCCTCCTGTGGCCCCTCGCCCTGCTGCGCTCAGGAGTCTTTGAGAACGAGGCCTGAGCCCGGTGCCCAGGGGGCTCCCTATTGGGGCTGCGCAGCCAGGCCCCCTAGTTCTCCAGGAGGTCCAGCAAAATCCCAGGTGGTGGGGGGGGG